AGCTGAAAGCAATTTGTTGCAAAATTTCATATGGCTGAACTCAATCCCAAGTCCCAATCCAACTCCTAGTCATCACTAGAGACCTGTTACTAGCTTGAACTAGAAAATAATATACAAAGATTGGAATTGACTTAAGTGATCAGAAATTTCAAAAGGTCTCCAACATTAAATTAAAGAGTTTTTTGGAAAACATAAAATAAATTAAAGACGACTGTAAAAGTCCAAACCTCCAGCCCACACCCACGTTCCGAACTTCACCAAAACTATTTGGTGCTTTTGGTAGACCAATATCATCATCCAATAATGAGCCGTATAGAACAGAATCAGTTCCTATGTCCCTAGCAGTGAACAACTCGAGAAGTTTTATGAATGCGTCCACGTAAGGTGCATGGACTGTTTTCCAAAGCAAGAGCAATAGCTTCTTTCACATTCTCAGGATGGAAAGTAGGGGCTTTCAGCTTCTCAATGCATTGGAGCGCTTCAACAACAAACAGTTAAAAAATATCATCATTTAGACTCATCTTACGAACTGAATGTTTTCCTTAAAAAAAATCATATTATTTCTTCTGTCTCACCAAAATTGTCACTTGTTGACCGTAGCACTAGATCAGTTGTTCTTAAAAAACTGTACAAATCCACCATCCATGTATATATGATGTGATTAATTATTGATAGATGATATATATATATATATATACCTTTATAAAATAAGATGTTTATTTTACGGTTTTGAATATTCTTTTGTCTGCCCAATTGCAGAAAGCAGAAGAAACGTTTCGGGTTAAGATGATGGAAACTGGATAGGCAAATAAGATAGATGAGAAAAGAGTCATGGCTGAGTTACTAATGGCAACCATAAGAGGTGTCGCAGAGAATGACACAGAATCTAGGTTGCTGAACGTGAGAAGGAATGAACTGATTAATGGAATCAACGACTTTGTGAGACTGCGTGCGATGGAGACATTGCTGATGCTGGAGCCGGATTTGCTTTTGAAACAGAAATTCCCTCGTAAAAAGATGCTCCTCATCCCCTTCCATTCAGTTTTTTTCAAATGTTGAATTAAAAACCAAATCTCCCATTCTTAAGCCTGAGGAGTTGTTTGATATCGATCCCACACTTCTTCAGAGCAAACCTTCTTCCTTCTTCGAAAACAAAGGAAAAAAGTCACAATTCAATTAAATATAGAAGTTTTGCTGCTAGAAATAGGAAGTTTTAAAGTACAGTCTTATTAAGTAGTATTTTTTCACAAATGAGGCTTATGGAGATAAGAGGAGGGGTTACTAGTGTTTGGATAATTGATTAAGTAGTGTTTGATAGTTGGAATACAAGAATCTCTTATTAAGTAGAGTTTGATAATTGATTGTGTAAAATAATACTTTCCCATTTAGAATTATTCTAGGTGAACTTTAAATGAGATTCCAGATTGATACTTGGCAACCTTGATAGTAAAAGGTATGCAAGATTAACAACGTAACCCTTGATACTTGACACTCGTCTGGTTCCAACAACACCCTTGAAGGCCCTAAATTCTGCAAAATTAAAGTCTTGAATATCAGAAAGGCCAGAATAAACCAAGATATTTGTCAATTTGCATACCTGACCGCTCCGGTAACCAGCTGTTTCATGCTTCTCTTGGGCCAAACCATCAACATGACAACATAAACCTGAAGAGAATTTTCAGAGGTGCAGATCAAGATTTATAGCCCAATTAGATTATAATTTTACGACGATTGCTAATTGTATCTAAGAATCAAACCACCATCGACAAAATCTACATTTGCAAGATCAGTAGGCTTAATTTGTTCTAAAACGTATATTTTAATTTTGAATAAGAAGAGAACATTGTCGCAGCTCCATCACTTGCCATTCAAAATTTTTTGTGTTTTTCAAGCTTACCAAATAGACCACAAAATATGTATCTCCTCAAAAAACAACACCCTGGACAGAGACCTGTTAAGATCACTAGCAATACTCTACTTATGCCAAATTAAATCAATTCTCAAATTCAATAATCGTTATTCTTAACCTTTTCTTATCAGCTTCTACACAAGTGGCATACGCTTTCAATGTATAATACACTCATTGTCTTTGCATCAGAATGAACCAAATTGATCATAGGCGAAACCGGGAAGCAGGCAGGGCCATGGCCCCTAAGAAATTTTTAATGCCCTTTTAGCGCAGTACCCGGCTGCACCTTATATAATGCTCGGCCCCCTTCCCCATTTATCTGGCTTCGCCCCCTGAATATGACACAAACACCTTACACTTTACAAACGAAAATTTCATCCCAAACATTTGGACCTGATTCACTTCCAGACGGATTATAAACCCACTACATATCATCTGAATATCAATTATTTTTAACCACTTCCAAATTTGACTTTCAAAGTCTGATTCTTCTAAAGATGGAGGGTTACATTTTGCCCAACTATTTCTTTCGGTGCAATCTGATTTTCTCCACTTTTAAATATCGTTGTACAGTTGCCTTCAAAATCTACTATATTCCATTTATGAAAACAAGGTCAAAGGAAGGAGCAAATTTCAAGTTTTGGGTCCATGTTCAAATTCAAGAGTCAAGAGTTTGTTTCAGAAAATTTTATTTTTTAATTAAATAGTTTTAGTGAAGTGATCAATGGATGAGCTTGGTTTGTTATCTATCGTTCTTTGCTTGTACTACTAGCATTAAGTACTTCAAAATATGACCCAAATTCCTTAATATAAAACCTAAACATACATTGCAAGAAAATATAAAACAAGGGTGTTACAATTAATAATGACTTAATTTAATGATAAAAAATTTTAAAATTTGGAAGTTTTAAACTTAAATTTAAATTTTATTATGTGAGTTTGATTTAATTTATATTAAATTTATTTAATTATATTTTAATTTATTAATTAATTATGCAATAACTTATTATATATTAAACTTTTTTACTTATAATTTCAAAAAAAAAAAAAGATTATTGCACGTCAACATGAACCAAGTACATCAGCTGTTACTTACATCAGCTATTACTTAAGATTTAATGGATAAGAGGGAATAATGAAATTCCCATCATGTTAAGGGACAAGATGTGACCAATATTTAACCTTTGGTTTCAGTGAAGGCCACCCCAGCCCAACAATTGCCTTCTCTCCTGGGGCTAATTCCAAGTTCCAACCTTTTTGGCTTTACATGACAAGCCAACTGTCTTTTGATTTGTCAGCTTCTGTTTCAACTTTTTGAGTCACCAATCACAATTGGGTTTTTCAGTTGTAGCCTGAACTAGTTTGTCATGATTCAATTATGAAAAACATGTGTCTTGAAGACACCTGATGCAAATATTTAGTACTTGAAAAGAAAGTTTAGTTTGAACATGAATTCTACCTTATCGTAATGGATACGCAGTTCCATTATTTACCAGTCAAAACTTACTTGTTTTAAGTTTATCAAATGGGGCACAGAATGTAGGGTCCACAAAACACAACACCATGGACACAAGATCACTATCTATACTCTACTCAGTGATGAAATCAATTTTAAATTAAAATTAAAATTTAATTCAAATGATTTATTTATTTTTTTAATAAAATTTTTTACTAAATTAAAATTCAATTTACAACGCTTGTATTTTTTTTGCAAAAAAAAAATCACTCAAATTCAGTATTCCTTCCCATAACCCTTATTTATCTGATAGCTTCAACCCAAGTAGCATGCACATTCCCTTAAATCCTTCACCCTTGCACTAAAGTAATGAACCAATTTGACACAAATACTTTAGACTAATTAGATCTCCTTCGCTTCCAGAAGCATGAAGGCTACATTCGGTCAATATATCATGGCTAAGAAGAGAGATGAATTTCCCAACATGTGGATAAGATCTACGAGTATCGACTAACCTTTCATATCAGTGGGTTACTTAGTCAAGTAGATTGCTCTCTCTCTCTCTAATTAATTTCGACCTTATTCTTCGCTTTGACATTTGTATGCGGCAGTACAAGCCACCGTGTTTGCTCATTGTCAAATTAGTTTGGTTTGAATATCTTTCCCATTGTCTGAACACTTTCTATTATCACACAGTCATACGTAACAAATTGGAAAAATTTTCTAGATTTATTATCTCATAACCTCTATTCTATTTAATTAGGATGCTTTTTTTTTTCTGCCATTTTCATTTTAACAAAATCAGCCTAAGCGAATGGATGTGATACTATAATTGTTACAAGAAAAATAATGCGATAGCATTAATTAAAAAATTGTGCAAGTGTACTGATTTGTAAATACCTTTTTAAACTTATTTATTTTCATTATTTTATTTAAAATTTTCTCATAAATAATTTGAATGCTATGTATTAATGATCAAGCCTTTATATAATGATCAATTTTAGAATAATTAATTCTTTGTTAACAAACATTAATGTAGAATGAGATATTATTTAAATCTAGACGTAATAATATAAAAAATGATATGATAATGTAATATAAAATATAAAAAACATAAAAAGTGATATTATTTAAAATTTTAATAAAAAATTATATATTAATTTGATAAAATAAAAAAATATATTTTAATATTAATATTAATATAAATTATAATATATAATTTTTATATAAAACATAATATAAATGTACATATTATTAATATTTTATATTATATAAATATACGAATTATAATCCTAAATTATGTGTATATTCAAGTTAAACATCCTCATCCTCATTTAATGAGAAACAGCTGGGGTAAACAGAGTTCCATCTTATCTTCTAGTTTTGCTTACAACGTCTTTTATTTCTTTTTTTAATTTATGAAAAATTATTATTAATCCACCAACTTGTTTCAAGCTGTTAACCATTATTACTCAGCCTGGGACCACAGCGATATCGTGTCGATTTGAAAGTGCTACACGCGTCAGCTTCTCTATAGCGAAATTGAAAAAGGACAAGTCCCACCTTCTGGCTTTGCTGACCACAAGTATCTAGGCAATTGGAACATTCCGATGCCTTTGGGGCTTTGACCTGTCATCCACCCAGTACTTCACAGAATAAAATCACGCCACTTCAGTTTCAGTTCTCCAGCAACTCCCTCGTCTCTCTCACCTTGCATTTTTGCCAAATCTTTTCCCCAAATGGTTAGATTTCTCTTTGTCTGATTTCAGTTTCCTTATTTGTTTTCACTCATTTGTCAAACAACAACAACAATCTTAACTCTGCTTTGCTTTATTTGATCAAACAGGATCGTCAGGTTGTCTTTGTTATGGCTCTGGTGGAAGTTGTGTTGGAAAGGGAGAGACAGAAGAAAAGGCTGATGGAAGAGTCGCTAAGGGCTCAAATAGTTGCACTTCAGGAGAAGCGGAGGAAGCATTCCGTGCTTGTGAGAAAAAAGAAGCGCATGCTTGAAAAGCAAGCCGCCGAGAAAAAATTGGTTGATGATTTCATGGTTCTCGTTGGAGCAATGGAGAATAACGATCTCGAGACTGCCCAGAATTTTGATGCAAAAGCAATGATGAATACTATTGCAACTATGATGAACACTAATGGCAGAGACGGGGAAGTATTTGCCAGCGATTACGGTAAAAAAAAAAAAGCCTGAAAAAGGATTACTGTTTACAGAACATGACCCAAGTGGATAAATTGGCTGATGGATATATGTTTGTTTGTTTATGTAGGAGACAATAAAGTTTCCGAAATCAATCTGGATCTTCGAGAACAAGCTATGATGGATGCAATTGTAGCTTTGGTGAACAGTGTAGGCAGTTGTGGCGGCGACAATGGAGGATTTTCCGGCGATCATGGTAAAAAAGAATGAACTCAAAGAGGAAAAAAAATCAATGCTTTGAAACGGGGGCAATACTGGCAATTGAACCAGTTGGATAAAAGCCGGTCAATTATTCGGTCGGAAACATATAATTAAACCGCTTGGCGGTAAAAATAAGAAATGTCTGTATCAATTCCCTAAGGGTTTTGTGGTTGTTTTATGCAGGATTAGGAGGAACTAATAACGCCCCTGAGAAAACCCAGAACCTTGGTGAAGAAGCTATGGCGGCCGTTATTGGGGAAACAAAGTGTGACGGCAGTGAAGTCAGCAACGCTGGTGGACATGGCGGCAGTTGTGGCGGCGACGATGGAGGATTTGCCGGCTATCACGGTAAAAAAAGAAAGAACTCAGAGAAAAAATTTTTCAACGCTTTGAAATAGGGCCATACTGGCAATTAAACTGGTTGGATTAAAGCCGATCAATTGTACGGTGGGAAAAATAAAATTAAACCGCTTGGCGGTAAGAAAGGATCAAATGTCGGTATAAATTTGCTAAGGGTTTTGTGGTTGTTTTATGCAGGATTAGGAGGGACTAATAACGCCCCTGACAACACCCAGAACCTTGGTGAGGAAGCAAGAATGGCTGCTATTGAGGGAACAAAGAGCGACGGAAGTGAAGTCAGCAACGCCGGTGGATACGGCAGCATCGGTGGGAAAGGCAGTAAATAGAGTGATGATGGGTCCTGTTAGTTATATTTAGATGCTTGGAAGGAGCCGGCTCCTTCACCATTTCATGAATATGACTTCCAAAGTTCGAGGATCGGTTTACACGTGAATGGTAGCAACAATTATATTGATAAATAATAGACAAAAAAAATAAAAAATAGGAACCAAAGTCATACTGCAAATTCAATGTCCTGTTTTTGTAATTATTGACAACATTGTTACTTGATCAGTTTGTGTTCTGTAATAATAGGCTTAAATCTATAAATTGCAAGTTGTTGCTTGTATTAATGAGACGGTGTTTGATTGAGGAATAAGCCACCTGCAACATACATTTTTATTACCAACATGAAGAGGGTGATTCAGTGGATAAAATCGTTTTTTTTTCCATAAGTAATTTTAGATTTGAGGTTAATCAGTAATTTTTTATTATGATTTTTTTGAATGCATTATGTGAAATTATTATTTTTTAAGTTATCAAATCATTTCGAATATATGATAAATAATTATTATTTTTTAAATTGTTAAGTATAATATTTTTTATATTAATTTGAAGGATTAAATAATTTATATATTTTAAATATTTTTTAAAAAATAACATTTTTATTTTAATTGAACTCTGGTGAACTGAAGAGCAAACAAATAAATTGATCAAATAAATTTATGTTCGAGCTTAAAGAATTAACGAGAAATTATTTTTTTTACAGCCCATGTATTTAACAACTTCACATGACAATAACAGAAAGTAAAGACAGTAATTATTATTACCTGACATTTATGCGGATGATAGGTGGCTTCAAACTTCAAGAGATCGCTGCTTTTAAATGCTACGTACTATAAACGTAGTAATCATTATGACTCAAAGACTATACACGTAGAAGTAATAATTATGATTCCTTGTCTTTACTTTATTATTATATAATAATTTTCCATTATCAATAGCTTTGATTGGGCGTTGACGAGCGCAAGCTAATCGCACGATCTTGACCTATGCTTGGTTGTCAAATACGGAAGCCCCTCCGATACGGATAATGACAATATCTGATATCTGTTTTTCCTATGGTCAAAATAAGATGTCATCATGCATCCCAAATAAAAAAAAATAATAATAATAATTTAGACTTTTTAATTTAAATATTTAGAATTATAATTAACTTTTTAGTTGGATTATTACAATTCGGATAAGTCTCTTGAATAATCATGCGGTATCTAGGAATTTGATTAAATCCTTTGGCGATCCCACCACTCTGGGCGCTTTCTTTCTCTTTTTCTTTCATCTCCAATGCATGAACTGATCTCTTTTTGACTTTTGAGCGTCAGCAAAGAAAGTTTACACATATATGGTGAAGAAAACTTCGTCCATGTGATTAAAGATTAGCTCCCTAATTTGTCAAATCGTTATCATCAAAATGTTCAATTAATTTGGTCATTCCTTGGTTAAATATAAATATTAAATTTTAATCCTGTTTTATTTATTATTATAGTAAAGATAACATACTCACATATATGTTTAATCTTTGCATTATCTTGATCATTCTAATAGTGTGCTTTAGATTTAATTTTTGTTGAAAAATAAAGTATATTACCTCTAACTATTTTAATACATTAATTAATTATAATTTAAGATTATATAATGTTATTAAAATATCACATGAAATTCACACGAATTCTTGCTTAATTTTTAGTTATAATTAAATAATTAATAACAAAATTATAATAAAATGAATTGAAAGTGAAATATTAAATATAATATAATTCTTTTTTACGTTGCCATTAAAAAAAAAAATACCATATCTATAAAAGTTTCGATGCGTTGAGAGTGGTCCGGTTGGTGAACCTCAATCTATAATTTCAAAGCATCAAATATAAACTTTCATTAAAAATGAATCATGTTTTTTAATGTCATATTGTCTCAAAATTTTGTATTATTTATTATTAGATAAATGTAAATATGAGATCGATAAATTCATAGATAAAAAATAAAATATTACAATCAAATCGATAATTATAAATTTAGAAAGTACAAAAAAATTAAAACAAAAATAATAAGACAAATATCAAAAGAAGAAAAATTTGTAAAGTGAATGGGAAATAGACGTAACTAGCAGAGTTTGCTGTCAAGTGGACAAACATAATTGGCCATCTGATCCTCCGGTCGAGTACTGCCAAGTGTAAAACCTCCAAGTAGTGGATGATTTTGGTGGTACATCCAGCTAGCTAGTTGTCTCTAATTAGTTGTTTAGCCCTTAGCAGCCTTGTTTTGATGAGACAAACTTGATGTGACATAACAAGAATCTTTCTTTCTTTGTTGAGACAATATTTTATTGACAATAAATGTAAAAAAGTTAAGCATTACAATCCGAAAACACCAATCCACAAAATGTGAGGTTAATTGCCAAGGAGAATTTTTTTTTTTTTTTCTTGTCAAGTTCTGAAAATAAAATTTTAAACATATTAAATTCAAATAAAATATACGTCTTTAAAATCATCAAACAAAATTAAAAATATCCACTTTATTCTATAAAAATTTTCTAAAATAAAAATATATATATATATATATATACACACCATCTAGCAATAACGGATTACTTCTTTTGTCTTATTTTTTTTTATCAATTTTTTAAAAATATCCTAAAATTAATTTTTTTTTAATATCTAAAATTTTTATTTTTATATTTTAAAATAATTTTTTAATAATTTTTTGACTTTTTAACATTAAAAATCTGGCAACTTTAATTTTATAACAAAAATTTAATTTTAATATTAAATATATTAAAATAATTTTTTTAATTTCATAAAAATTAATATCATTCAAATAATTTGAGACAAGAAAAATATTTATTTTATCCATATTTTTCCTTTGAATCTAATCCAAATCAAATCAATTTTAATTTTAATTCTTTAAAAACTTCAAAATTTTTAAACATTGTTATTATTATTAGTAAAACATTATTTGCACATACGTAAGTCATGTCATCCTAAACATGACGATAAATAAATGGACAAAGGTAAGGTTGGCATGAGATGGGATGAGATGTCCACTATGGATGTACAAATAATATTATTAAAATTCTCTCAATTTTAGTTTGCATGTTTTTATTGATTTTTTGTCAATGAAATTTAATCTTGATCATATTTAATATATAAGATTATGATATGATACGATAAGATAAAATTATGAATACGATTAGATTAAATAATATTATTTTATTTTATATTTGATATATGTAATGATTAGAATATGATCATTTATTTATTTATTTATCAAAATTATCTTTCTTCAAAATTTATATTATTTAAATTATTAATATAATTTTTAAAAATATAATTGGACATATAAGTTTAATCTCATGATTAAAGATAATCATATTCACTTGAAAGGAGATTGAATAATCCTGTACTAAAAAGATATTAATCCTCCTTACAATTTATATCCCTATCTTTAAATACAAATCAAATAAAAATAAAATCATTATCGTATTATTTTAACAATAAACCTATACATCAAACATGACCTAAGGTTATGTTTGGTACAAAAAATTATGATATTATAGAATAAGATGATATTATAAATAGAATTAAATTAAATAATGTCATATTATTTTTTATTTGATATATACAAGAATTATGATTAAATAATTTATTTATTTGTGAAAATGATCCTTTTTCAAAAATTATATAATTTAAATTATTGATATAATTTTTAAAAGTATAATTAGACATGTAAGTTTAATCTCATAGATTAAAAATAATTTTTTTCACTTGAAGAGGATTGAATAATTTTATTCCAAGAAAATATTAATCATCATTACAATCTTATACTTCATTTATATACAAATAAGATATGATATAAAAATATTATATTAAATAACATTTTTTATATATATTTTAAAAAATATGAAACTTAAACTTTACAAATTTTATTTTTAAAAATTTTTAAGTTCCATCATTTAAAAATTTTTAATTTTATTACCATCGACCAACTGCAACCAACAACAACATGCATGCAGCTCAAATTTCTCCAAAATCAATGTACTTTAAGTTTTCTCTGTGGGGTAAACAGCAAAATTTATGTCTTTATTTAACTTTTTCTTTCATTTCTTTGCCTTTGGTTTTTTTTTTTTTTCCGTTACTTTAGGTTGGGGTAACTCAATTTTCATTAATTTCACTTTTGACCAAAAAATTTCAGTAATTTCACTTGAAGAGGCAATCTTTTATTTTCTTTTTTACGTAAAAGATATACTTAATGTCAATGAAATTAATATTGTTTCAATGACAACGAGAAAGTCTTGAAATCTTTAGGTATCATATTTAAGCCCCAAATAGAAAGATTTATTCACTTTTATGTTGGTTTTTTTATTGAATCGTAAAAATAAATATTTATCAATTTATCCTTAAGATGTGAAGAAATATTAAATTCGTGCAAAAAATGATTTTGAAATCTAAATTAAGCATGAAATTTTGGAACCAAAATTATGCTAAATGTTAAAAATATTTCGTACTATGAAAATTATGGGCATAGAGGGTAGAAAATTATATGTCGTATAGGACGGCTGCTTTGCTTATAGTGTTAGGATGCTGTTAGGTGGGTTGTTGGAGATTTAATTAATCACTCTAATCTAGTTAACATAGCAATCTTAAATGTAATTATCATAGCCTCAATAAGGATAACTGCTTTCTCCTTTTCTCGAAATATCTTTTGTTTTTTTTTTTTAAATTATCTTACCACTTACAATATTTAAGATGTAATATTTACCGAGTTTGAACTTTTATTTCAATTTCTAATGCTGCATTTGATTGATTTTTTTTAATAAAAAGTGAAAAAAATTGAAAATAAGGAATAAATACAGAAAGTAAAAACAAAAGTATCAAACAAATCCATTAAATTTTTATTTTCCTTGTCAAGTTTTGAAAATAAAATTTTAAACATATTAAATTCAAATAAAAATTACATCTTTAAATTCTTAAAAAAAATTAAATTCAAACAAAATTCAAAAATATCCTATTTATATTATAAAAAAAATCTAAAAGAAAAATAATATATAGTATCTAGCAATGGCGTGTTATTTGTTTTATTCGTATTTTTCTTTTGAATCTAGTCCGAGTCAAATCAACTATAATTTTAATTCTAAAAAACTTTGATTTTTTTCAAAAGGAAAAACGTTGTTATTATTATTAGAAAAACATTGTTTGCACATACACACGTCATGTCATCTTAAACATGACGATAAATAAATGGGAAAATGTAAGGTGTGCATGAGATGTCCACTATGGATGTACAAATAACATTATTATAAATCACTCGATTTTATTTTGGATGTTTTTTATTGATTTTTTTATCAAAGGAATTCAATTTTGATCAT